GAGATTCAGTACAGCTGGGTGAAGAGGAGTGCCAACTCATTTGCGGATGGGTTGGCCAAGCAAGGAGTGAATAGGGAGGCTGTTTTTTGGGCTAGTTTTTAATTTTTCTTTACATTCCCTGTGTTTTCTGTTTTTGGGGAGCTAAGTTATTTTATCTCCCTGTATTCTTTTCCCTCTCTTCTCTTAATTTAATGAAGATGATGTTATTGATCAAAAAAAAAAAAACAAGTTCTCTGAGATTTTGCAATTTCTCTTCATTTCCCCAACATAAAAGAGTATAATATCATCTCGAAAGTGTAAATGAGTTGCAATCACTTCATGTCTCTCCACTCTCCAGCCCTTGATGAGATTATTAGTGGCAGCTTTAGTAATCAATCCACTTGGTGCATTAGCCACCAAAGTGGACAAAAGAGGAGATAGAGGATCTCCTCATCTCAAACCCCTCTTTGGGGGGTTTGGGGGAGGGGGGGGATCTCTTGTAAGTCCATTAATCAAAATGGAATAATGGCAGGAACTAATACAACCCTCAATCCACTTGCACCACCTATCCACAAAGCCCACTTTAACCATGGTTAAAAGAACATCACATAGGACCAAACATATTCAGATTTTACAGTTATGATGGGTCTTCACAAAGGTTCAGCACTTAGCTCCTATCTATTTGCATTGATCATAGATGAATTGACTAAGCATATTCAAGAAGTTCCTTGGTGCATATAGTTTGTGGATGACATTGTTTTAATAAATGAAACTAATAAGGATTAAATGCAGAATTGAGCTTATAGACAAATGCCCTAAAAACATGAGGTTTCAAAATAAGTAGGACTAAAACAGAGTATGACATGTAAATTTAGTAAGAATAGCAGTGTAAATCAGGATAGAATTAGGATTGGAGACCAAGAGATAACTCAAATGTAATCATTTCCGGTACCTTGGTTCAATAATTATGAAGGGATAGATTGAAGATGTCACCCAGAAAATTAAATGTTGGGCAAAATGGAAGGGTGCACTTGGACTTTTGTGTGATAGAGAATACCACTTAGAGATTAAAATGAAAATTCTACAAAACAATTGTAAGGCCAGCTATGTTGTATGGAGCAGTGTTGGGCAATCAAGAAACATGTTCAGAAAAATGTGATAGAAATGTGAATGCTAAGATGGATGAGTGGAAAAACTAGAAAGGATAGGATCAGGGATGAAGCCATCCATAGAAATCTTGGAGTAGCTCCACTAGGTGATAAAATAAGAGAGAGATAGAGTACGCTAAAGAAGACCACCAAAAGCCCCAGTTAGAAGAAGTGATCTGTTACAAGTGGCAGGGGCTAGAAGAGCTAGTGGGTAGACCAAAAAGGGCATCAGTAGAAGTAGTAAGAAATGGTTTTAAATACCCGTCTACCCCCTGAACCAGGTCAGACCCCGAAACACCCACTATAGGGGTGTATCGAGAGATCACCGATATGATACGTATTGGCCAATGCGGCCTGATACGTATCGATATTTTGAACCTTGGTTGGGTAAGGCATGGATGATGATGATGATGGGACCAAACAATTTAACAAACTAAGAATTCCATTCTATTTTTGCTCAAAGAGAAAACATACAAGCATATATGGGTAACTAAGGAGACTCAGGTTATTCTTCACCCAAATTATGAAATTCTTACTACAGACCAAAGAAAAATTTTAAAATTTCTAACATATTGACTAATGTCTTTGAAATTTTAAATGGACCATTAAAAATGACCTAATTAACAACTTAAAATGAATGATCCAAGCTCATCTCTACAATTAAAAAAAAAAAAAAGATTAAACTGCCCCTATGTCCTAAAAGTACAAGGAAAAAGACCAACAATTCAAGATCCAATTACAACCATTCCGATCCCCGCATCAGAGATAACCCCAATGTGCTAGGAGCCGAAAAGGATCTTTACATGTCCAAAAGAAAAAACAAGAAAAATGCAAAACAAAACAAAGCTCAATCCAGTTGGGACTAAAAGACTTTCCAATTGACCTATAAATACCTTTGCATAAGCCTATGATACATATCATTAAGGACCAAGGAAAATGGGCCTCTTGCCAACGAAATGAACTGTTATGGGGAAGGGATTCTTTTTACTTGATTACAAATAACGAAAATGAACGTAAGTCTGCAGCAGAGGAAGAATTATAAGGAGCAGGTTCAGATCCAACCAACCTGCCCTGAAACCATCTAATAAATTCAAGTAGGTGATTCATTGCTGATAATTTGAGGTTAACCATATCAAAGGTAATGAAAGGTTAAAATGTTTGACCAAAAAATTTAAATGTTTTCCAACTCTAAACATAGAAAATAATTAGTCCTAGTATATTCAAATTATTTTTTGGTTGTAATCTATGTATCTTGATACTAACAGATCTTAATCTCAGTTTGAAGTAAGATACACAGGTGATGCTACTGTATATTGACATTTTATTGCAGTATGTACATCATAAAATTTGTGCTACAAGGGTAATTGACCATTTACAAAGGAAAAGGTAAAAAGGCAGTACAGAAAATTCATCAAACAGAGCTCCTCACTTTTTAATACAGAAGCACAAACACATTTTTTGACCCACTAAAACAAAGAAAAGAAGGCTTAGAATATTATGAACCAAGTCATGAAAGGAAGTGTAGAGTACATCCTCTTTTCCTTATAAAGTGAAGAATCAAATACAGTTTGTTCTATTCCAAAAATGTCTACATTACAATAGTCAACTAATAAATAAAGAACTCGAAGGAAGAGATTAAGGCACCAATGATGACATTTCACCAGTAAGGAGACAAAAGTATCTGACCTGTGATCGAAATCGAGATGCTTCTCTGCTAGGAAGCTCTTTAAGAATATCTTTCAAACCTGCTACAACATAAAAGACTTACATGAGACTGCACTGAGAAAAGAATTCCATACACACCAATTTAACTTGCAGAAGGTTTCCCTGTTAAGAGAAGTATTTGCTTACCTCTTGCTTGTCTTTCAATCTTATAGGCTGAACGAATTACACCCTGGATTTGATTTCCGGCCTGTCTGCAAATAAAATGGAAGTGTTGATGAAAAAATCAAGAATAGTCATTAGTAAATAGAAATCATTGATGAATTACTGTCAATCAATACCAACAAACCTAAGTTTAGTTCTTCCCCGCTTCATCTCCTGTTCTGCTTGTAATGCCCTCTTCTGAAAACAGTAAGTAAATATTCTAACAGTTAAGGATGTCTGCTTTACAAGTACAGGACAAGAAGTAATATCATATATCAAAGAGCAACAAAAGCAAGGAAATAGATTACCTCCAATTTTTCACTTTCAGCTTTCATGAGGGCAATAGATTGTCGCAACGCCTTCACTTTAGAGTCTGCTCTAGCAAGCAAGGACTGCAACCACAAAGGAGAAAAAAAAAAGAAAGAAAACATTCATGTAAACCAATCATTTAATTTTTAAATATCTAGAGTTCATCATTAAAGAGCTCAAACAGTAACAAATCCATTAGAATTATCCTGAATTCCAGTGTGATACTTTAAAAATTGATTCACTAAACCAAAATGGAGATATACAACAACAAGTTGTGGGCAGAAACAACAAACCCAAGAAGAAAACCATCCCAATATTTACAATAAGCCCAGAACATGGATTGTCTCTGAATTCCTTGTTTTGCTAAACCATCAGCCATACTGTTTGCAGAACTCCTAATCCAATTTATTTGGATCAGCATGTCTTTAGATAGCTGTATGAAGCGCCTGAATTCATTCCTCAGTTGCCATATTACCCCTTCCCCCTTTTCAGCCAACCCACAACTATTTTCGAGTCACCTTCAATTCCAATGTGATACTTTCCAGACTATAGACATTTAGCAACAAAGAAAAATGACTTCCGTTGGTAGTAGGCAACTATACATACAAAAATTACCCACTACCATGCTAAATGGCTAGACATCCAATAGTTCTTTGAACCTCCTAAGTTATGCCATACAATGAATTGGCATTTAGAAGTTACCACTTAAAAGGATTATTCCTTCTATAAGCTTGTGATCATAAGGAAACCAGTTTTATCCATCAGGCCCGTTACCAAAATGAGATTTAACTTTTCAACCAAAGCATTCAATGTATGATTGAATGAGATCAAAACATAAAATTGTCCATTCAAATGGATACCTAGGCTGCTAATAGTCTGGCAGATTCTTTAGCTCAAGCTGGAACAGAAAGAGATGGATTAGTGTGGGGCCATCCAGATCCATGTCAGGATTGAACCCAAGACAGTGTTTTGTTTGTAGCATAAGAATGTGGTGATTGCCTTTGCCTGATCTGTATATTGCTATACTGGTCCTCATCTCCATGCTAGGGGAATGAGGGTTTTTTTTTTTTTGATAGAAACAGTAACTTTCATTAAGAAGATTAAAAAAGTACATCTATCACCACCCAAAGGATGGCTAAAGAGACCAATATCATAAACAGTCTAAAAGCAAGCCCAAAATAAAGCCCCCTATTTAGTCCTTGTTTTGCTAGAGCATCAGCCATTCCATTTTCTGATCTTCTTACCCACTTAAACTGTACCCTTAACTCCCTTGCTAAGTACGATATTTCCCTTAACTGTTGCCTGTAAGGCATGCACCCAAATTTCTTGCTTGCATCCAACCAATTACCAGCTTGGAGTCACCTTCCACTTCTAGCTGTTGCATACCCCACTGCTTGGCCAGTCTAAGACCTTGTAGTAAGGCCTTTATTTCTGCCCAAAGTGAGTCTCCCACCCCAATTGGACCCAAGAAGAGGGCCAGCATTTTTCCTTCCTCATCCCTGAAGACTCCCCCAATACCTGAAGGACCTGGATTGCCTAGAGAACTTCCATCAAAATTCAACTTCACTCTAGTTTGTAGAGAAGGGGACCAACTCTCCTGCACTATATGAGAAGAGGAAGAGGAAATAGCTATAGCACTCCAACCTCTACTCAAATCATCATAAGAGAACTCCTTGAAGAGTTGCAGAATTTTCAGCCAATGTAAAATTTTGATGGCAATGTCCTCAACAAGTGCTTCCTTTGATTTTTCCTGCCCTTGGAAGATCATGTTGTTTCTTTCTTCCCAAACCAACCAAACTATTGTTCATCTTTCATTAATAAAGTCAGTTGTTGATTGGAAGAAAAAAAAAACATCCTGCATCATGCCACACACCCAACTTGTATATAACAAGAAGAGAACCATCTTTTGAAGAAGTATTGTATTAAGATATGTGTGACAAAAAAGATTACATCAGCACCCTGTACACCATTGCATTGTAAAATGGGAATATTGAAAAAGTAAATAGTATCAAGAAAAGTGATTGTTAATAAGTAAACCTTCTGACTGATCAAACAAATAAGTAAACCTTCTGCTTCAAAGAAAGAATTATAATGAACACCCCTGAAACATTTGTGTGACAATGTTGAAGGAAAATTTTTAACAAACCCAAATAAACCTTCTGCATTGACCGATGACCCTTTCTCATATGATAGGATAGATGGGGGTTCCCTACCATAGAGAACCTTGAACGGTGTGTTTCCGGCTGATACATGAAAGAGGAGTTGTACCAGAATTCTGACCATGGCAGCCACCGAGTCCATTGACATGGCCTTTCACTTGCAAAACAACGCAAGTAAGTTTCAATGCATCGATTGACTACTTCAGTTTGGCCATCGGATTGTGGATGGTAACTTGTTGACGGGTTGTGTTTTCTCCCTTGCAGCTTGAAGTATTCCTTCCAAAAGTTGCTAAGGAAGGCTGGGTCCCTGTCGGATATAATGGCCCTGGGTGTGCCATGTGATCTTGTAATTTCTCTTACAAATGCTTCAGCCACCTTTGCTGCTGTGTAAGGGTGGGCTAGAGGGATGAAATGGCTGTACTTGGAGAGGCGGTCAACGACCACTAACAGAACTGACTTGCCTTTCAATGGTGGCAGTCCTGTGATAAAGCCTATTGAAACTTCATCCCAGACCTCATTAGGGATGTGTAACAGCTGTAACAAGCCAGCTGGAGATTGTGCCACATATTTCTGTTGTTGGCACACAGGACATGAGGTAACAAAGTCTCTGATGGTCCGCTTCATACCCGTCCAGAAATAATGGGCTGCAATTCTCTTGTATGTTTTAAAAATTCCTGAGTGGCCTCCCATAACAGAGTTGGGGAATAATGCTAGTAATTCTGGTGTGTGAGCAGAATTAGCAGAAATGACTAATCTACCTTTGTAGAAGACTGTGGAGTGAACTGAATATCCTGGGGTCAATCCTGGGTCCCGGGCCCACTTAGCTCGAATTTAACTTAATGTAGGGTCCTGTTGTGCCTCTTGCTTGAGCTGTTCCAGCAAGGGATAGCTGGGTTGAGATACTACTAGTTGGGCCATTTCAGGCATGCGCGACAAGGCATCCGCTACACGATTGGCTGGGCCTGGCTTGTACTCAATCACATAGTTGTAACCCGGGAGCTTATGGGCCCATTTCTGCTGTTCTGGGGTATGGAATCTCTGCTCCAACAAGTACTTCAGGCTCTTTTGGTCAGTACGGATTATGAACTGATGTCCCAGTAAATATGCTCTCCATTTTTGGACAGCCAACACCACTGCCATGAGTTCTTTCTCATATGTGGATTTGGCTTGAGCTTGCTGAGATAGAGCTTTGCTGAAATAAGCTACGGGCTTGCCTTCTTGCATCAGTACAGCACCTATACCACACCCTAAAGCGTCACATTCCAGCACAAATTGCTTAGAAAAATCTGGTAGTGACAGCGTTGGTGGTGTGGAAACCGCTTTTTGCAACCTCTCAAATGCTAATTGTGCTTCATCTGACCATTGAAAAGCATCTTTAAGCAGCAGCTGTGAGTGGTGCGGCTATCCACCCATAATGAGGGATGAATTTCCGGTAGTATCCTGTAAGGCCCAAGAAGGCACGCAATGTTTTGACAGACTTTGGTGGTGGCCAATTTTGGATGCTTTTGACCTTGTCTGGATCCGCCATGACCTGTCCTGCCTTCACATGGCCCAAATATTGTACTTGTGACTGGCCGAAAACACATTTGGATGCTTTTGCAAACAATTGGTGTTGCCTCAAGAGTCCCAAAGTGATAGACAAGTGTTTTAAATGAGATACCCAATCAGCGCTAAACACAAGAATAGTTAAAGAATCAAAAAGGTTCAGCACACCCAAGGGGGAGTCTAGCTTCTTCCGACAACCAAGGAAAAGGGGCAGGGAAATGTGGAGAATAACAAGAGCTTCCATCCTATGGTCAATTTGGGAAGAGAGAAACAATAGGATCTTCCTAGGGCAAGAAAAATCCAAGGAAGCACTTGTAGACGTTGTCACCATCAAAGTTATGCACTGGCTGAAAGTACATCATCTTTTCAAGGATTTCTCCTCAGCGGACTTAATTAGAAATTGGAGTGCTATAGCTATATCCTCACCTTCCTCCCCTGTGGTACAAGATTGTTGAGTACCACCGCCTCAGTTTAGGGTGAAGCTAAACTTTGATGGAAGCTCCTTGGGTAATCCAGGTCAGTCGGGAGTTGGGTGTGTACAGAAACGAGGAAGGAAAAGTCTTGGCCCTTTACTCGGGCCCAATTGGAGTGGGAGATTCATTAAAGGGCAGAAGTAATGGCCTTACTACAAGGTTTGAAATTGGCGAAACAATGGGGAATGCAACAATTAGAAGTGGAAGGTGACTCCAATCTGGTAATACAGTGGATGCAAACTAGAAATCTGGGAGTGTGGTCTCTTAGACAGCCTCTAAGAGAGATTATTAGCTTAGCAAGGGAGATTGGGGTGCACTTTAATTGGGTAAGAAGGTCAGMAAATGGAATGGCTGACACTTTAGCTAAGCAAGGAGTTACTAGGGAGGCTTGTTTTGGGCCTGTTTGTAATTTTTTGATTTTCTTTTTCCATCCACTTTGTGGGTGGTAAGCTTGTAATCTTTTCAATTATCTAATGAAAGTTACTTTTTCCTATCAAAAAAAAAAAGAATATCATTAAAGAAGACTAGTATGAAGCGATGTAAGTATGGTCGGAATACCTCGTTCATGATGGCCTGAAATGTTGATGGGGCGTTGGTGAGCCCAAACGACATAACGAGGAATTCATAATGACTGTCATGTGTGCAAAACACTGTTTTTGGTACATCCTCCGAGTGCATACTTATTTGATAATATCCCAATCTGAAGTCGAGCTTAGAGAATAACATGGCTACTTGTAGATCATTTAGTAACTCATCAATGAGTGTATTATGATTTGGCCTGCCCTTGAGTTCTATTAGTCTGATAACAGCCAAGAAGAGAGAAGATGAAAGAAGAAAGAAAGAGAGAAAGAAAGGAGGAGAAAAAGAGAGAAGAAAAGTCTGGTTCGAATGAGAGAAAAATTACCT